AATATATATATATATATATATTAAAATAAAAGAAAATGGTGAAATAACGTGGGTGGAATAAATTAAGAGAAAGGAGGGATATGATTAAAGTGGGATTGAAAGTGTGAAAAGATGAGAGAGAGAGAGTGGGGTACATGATGAAGAGAGAGGGATGTCATGTGTGTATGGGGCAGTGTGTTGAGTGTGTGCCCATGTGCATAGGTCTGCCGACGGCTCTTGCGCTCTCTAGGGTTTTGCAGAGAATCAGAAGCTATTCATCAAGATGACTTTCAAGCGAAGGAACGGGGGTCGCAACAAGTATGGCCGTGGCCATGGCAAGTTCATCTGCTGCTCCAACTGCGGCAAATGCTGTCCCAAGGACAAAGCCATCAAGAGGTTTCTTGTGAGGAACATTGTTGAGCAAGCTGCTGTTAGGGATGTCCAAGAAGCTTGTGCTTTTGACAGGTACACATTACCCAAGCTGTATGTGAAGATGCATGTCATGCGTGCCATGTGCCACAGTGAACAGTGAACTAATGGCTCCTGTAGATAATGTTGTTGTGTCAACAGAAAAGTTGAGGCTGCGATTACTTGAAGAACATGTGAGGGAAGAAGCGATCCAGGACAGTGAGCAGATTATGAGAAACGAGTTCGCAGCTCTGCAGAATCAACTTATGGTGCTTAAACAGAAGTACCGGCTCCTCCTCGACACGCTGCGGCAGTTAGAGACAGAAAAAGTTGATCTGGAGAATACAGTAGTTGATGAGAGCCAACGACAATTGATGGAGCAGGGCCCTTCGTCTAGGTTAAGGCAGGACAAATCCAGTGAAGGAAGTCCAAGTGAGTCTGAAGATGACAACGAGAGGGTTGCAGAGGAAGAAACAGATGATGATGACAATGCGAGATCTGTGAGGAGTCCGAGCTCCTCCGGGAGGTACCCGGCGATGTCGCCTTGGTTGGGATCGATACCGGCAACGGTGAAGATCGAGGAGTTGTCCGGCGTCGTGGAAGAGGTTCTGGCGGAGAGAGAATGGATTGATGCAACCCTCCGAATCTTCATGGCTGAAAAGCCTTGGAAGACACCTTTGCAACAATGGTGGACGAGGACAATGAATCATCATCGGCTACAGTCCTCGATCTCACAAGCTTCCAGCTACACGATCTTGACTCAGTCGAGCTTCCACCGAGTCTGACCGAGTTGGACCTCACCGCCAATCGACTCTCCACCTTGGACCTCCGGATTGCCCACCTTTCCAACCTCAGGATAGGAACTTGTGTAAATTGAACTGACCGAGCAAAGTTGCAAACCAGTATTCAGCAGCAGAAGGAGGAAGGACATGCAGAGTGATCAAGGAATGTGTAGAAAATTCAAGCGGAATAGGTTGAGGTCCGGCAGGCGGCTAAGGTGATGTTGCCACCCGCCGGGGAAGCGAAAATAGTAGGTTCTAAACCTGCTCTGATACCATATAAGATAAATTGATAGAGAGAGAATTACAGAGAAAATAAATTGTATGTATTATGATTGATGTATGTTATATATTACAACTGGTGAGGGGCTCCTTATATAGGAGAGTGGGTGGAGAGTAGGTGTAGTGTAGTGGAGTAGGTGAAGTGGAGGTGGTAGGTGGAGTGGGTGGTAGTGGAGGTGGTAGGTGGAGTGGGTGGTAGTGGTGATTTACAATTTACATTTACAATTTACATTAACAGCCCCCCTCAAACTCAAGGAGGATAGGTACTAGCCAACTTGAGTTTGGAGAGAGTAACAAAACAGGAAAAATAAGCTGACAAATAAAATTAAAAATGGGATAGGAGACACTGTATGGTTGTGTCAGACTGTTGTAGAAGACACGGTATGGTCGTGTCGGACCGTTGTAGCAGACAGTTTACGGGGTCATGTCGGACCGTTGTAGCAGACACTTTTACGGGGTCATGTCGGACCGTTGTAACAGGACAGTTTACGGGGTCATGTCGGACCGTTGTAACAGGACAGTTTACGGGGTCATGTCGGACCGTTGTAACAGGACAGTTTACGGGGTCATGTCGGACCGTTGTAACAGGACAGTTTACGGGGTCATGTCGGACCGTTGTAACAGGACAGTTTACGGGGTCATGTCGGACCGTTGTAACAGGACAGTTTACGGGGTCATGTCGGACCGTTGTAACAGGACAGTTTACGGGGTCATGTCGGACCGTTGTAACAGGACAGTTTACGGGGTCATGTCGGACCGTTGTAACAGGACAGTTTACGGGGTCATGTCGGACCGTTGTAACAGGACAGTTTACGGGGTCATGTCGGACCGTTGTAACAGGACAGTTTACGGGGTCATGTCGGACCGTTGTAACAGGACAGTTTACGGGGTCATGTCGGACCGTTGTAACAGGACAGTTTACGGGGTCATGTCGGACCGTTGTAACAGGACAGTTTACGGGGTCATGTCGGACCGTTGTAACAGGACAGTTTACGGGGTCATGTCGGACCGTTGTAACAGGACAGTTTACGGGGTCATGTCGGACCGTTGTAACAGGACAGTTTACGGGGTCATGTCGGACCGTTGTAACAGGACAGTTTACGGGGTCATGTCGGACCGTTGTAACAGGACAGTTTACGGGGTCATGTCGGACCGTTGTAACAGGACAGTTTACGGGGTCATGTCGGACCGTTGTAACAGGACAGTTTACGGGGTCATGTCGGACCGTTGTAACAGGACAGTTTACGGGGTCATGTCGGACCGTTGTAACAGGACAGTTTACGGGGTCATGTCGGACCGTTGTAACAGGACAGTTTACGGGGTCATGTCGGACCGTTGTAACAGGACAGTTTACGGGGTCATGTCGGACCGTTGTAACAGGACAGTTTACGGGGTCATGTCGGACCGTTGTAACAGGACAGTTTACGGGGTCATGTCGGACCGTTGTAACAGGACAGTTTACGGGGTCATGTTGGACCGTTGTAGAAGACAGTTCCATTGATCCTTGTTGATACGCTTAAAATTACATTATTAACCTTTGAAACCCAAAAAAACCAACAATATCATAATTTGTTATTGAGTTATAATACCACATGATAATATCATAATTTCTTTTTTAAATATAAGAAATTTATGGAAACTAGTAGTTAATATTACTCATTGGATCAAGTATAGCAAGGCCATGTACTTACAAAGGCCTAAAAAAATAGAAATTATAAAGGGAAATAACAAAATATTATTAGATATTATTAGATGGGTACATAAATATAAACACGTGCTGTTTCGAGAAGATTAGATAATTTCTACCCATTATGGGATTGTTTCTTATATTAATTTCTGCAAGAAAAAACCTTTCCAATTTTTTTGATGTGGACAAAAAACAAAGCCTATATATAGGCTCATCAAATGGCTCGTAGATAAAAAATTCGATATTACCAAATCCATTCAATCTGTTCCATAACCTATCTAAACCCCCTTGACTGCCCAGGCCATCCCATCCCATAGAAGATTGTTCAAGATTTTTGACAAATATTTGAAACCCAAGCCCGCCCATGAACTGGGCCCGTGCAAAGCCTACATGGATAAATTCAACCCCCATCAACCCCACTCAAACCATCTTGGTGGTGTTTGGTGCAGCTATTAAAACAGATTATAGATTATAGTTTAACAGATTATAAATTATGACTTTAATCAGAAGCGGTTAATCTGTTTGGTATAGCTGTTGGATTATAGATTTAAGTTGCTGAGTAGTGTTTGTTAAATAAGCTGTGAAGTAGCTTTTTCAATTAATTTTTATTTTTTATTATTCACTATTTGTCTACATTTTTCATAAAAAATAATAATAATATTTAATAGTCCATTTGAGTCTTTTTCTATTTTTAAAAAAATAAAAAATAAAAAAATCTAAGAGTATAACCGTGAATTAACATGTCCACAGCAGAAGCTGATAATCAGAAGCAAGGGGTGAGCAGCTTCTCAGAATCAGCTTTTTTGACTTAAAATAAGTTGTTAGAATAAGAAGCTGTTTGAAATAAGTTTAACCAAACAGTCTAAAATAACTTTTTAAAAGCCAGAAGCCATAAGTTGGCTTAAAAAAGCTGCACCAAACACCCCCCTCTTCCAAAAAAATATATATATATATATATATATA